AATAATAATTTAACAGAAACATTCATCTATAAAATAATAATTTAACAAAAACATTCATCTATAAAATAATAATTTAACAAAAACATTCATGTATAAAATAATAATTTAACAGAAACATTCATCTATAAAATAATAATTTAACAGAAACATTCATGTATAAAATAATAATTGAACATTATTTATCTGAGGAGCAGCTTTGAGTTTAACTCCATCACTGAACACTCATCTTGAACAAGCATGAAGGCGACAGTGGAAAGAAAAACTCCGTCATGAGGAAGAACCCTTTAGCAGAACCAGGATCAGGACAAGTGGACCATCTGCTTCGACCGGCTGGACTTCAGACCCCCAGATGGACTGAGCCACCAGGGGGCGCTTGTCCTCGGTGGATTCAACTTCAGAGTTCCAGTCCAGTTTCTATGGTCCAGCTGTCTTTATATCCAACACTGACAGGAGGCAGGACACTTGGTTTATAGTCTTTGTCTTTAACAGGTAAGATATTCTTTATTCATAACCGTCCTGAAGAACCCCACGTTAGAACTATCACTTTTTACTATAATGACACTATTGCTGCAGGACTCCTGGTCCTACAGCTGGACTCCTGGCCCTGCAGGACTCCTGGTCCTACAGCTGGACTCCCAGTCCTATAACTTGTCCACAGCAAACCCTGACGTGTGAGGAAGACTACTGTTGTGTCAGAGAAGGGTTACCTTTAAACATGAGGTCTGGATTACAGAGACCCAGATGATGGGTCTGTGGTGATCCAGAGGCGGGGCTCACACCAGCTCCTTTTAAAGATGAACTCTCTGTGAACTAGAGGAACAGAAAGTAAAGAGGCGGACTATAAAAGGTCTGCTGGAGGAGCTCAGGGCTCCAGACTCTGCAGACCCCGCAGGGCCCTTCATCATGGCTCTGAGCGCGCTGCTGGCCTCCGTCCTCTGCACCACCGTGCTGCCGGTCCTGCTCCTCCTGGTGGCGCTGAGGCTCTGGGAACTCTACTGGGTCCGGGGCCGAGACCCGGACTGTCCCAGCCCGCTCCCCCCCGGCTCGATGGGCTTCCCCTTCCTGGGGGAGACGCTGCAGCTCCTCCTGCAGGTAGGCTCCGCGGCGCGCGCTCCAACACCTTCTGTCGTGGTTTGCTCGTGCTGACGTGTTTCCGTGTGCTGCGCGTGGAGAGGAGGAAGTTCCTGCAGGTGAAGAGACGGAGGTACGGCTTCATCTACCGGACCCACCTGTTCGGGTCTCCCACGGTGCGCGTGACCGGGGCGGACAACGTCAGGCACCTCCTCCTGGGCGAGCACCGGCTCGTGTCCGCGCAGTGGCCCGCCTCGGTCCGGACCATCCTGGGCCCAGACACGCTGTCCAACATGCACGGGTCCCAGCACAAGACCAAGAAAAAGGTGAGAGCCGGGAATCAATTCATTTAATTTAATACTTAATAATTAATTATTTAAATTAATTATTAATGTAACTGAAAGGAAGTTAACAGAAACATGATCACCCGCCATCAGAACAAAACACGGTCCAGGTCCAGCTGGACATCAGTTTTTGTTTTCAGCTGAAAAGGTTTCATCACTGAACAGCTGCTGAAGCTGAGCAGCTGCTGAAGCTGAACAGCTGCTGAAGCTGAACAGCTGCTAAAAGCAAGACACGTAAAAGAGCTGAGAGGCTGAAAAGATAAAAAACAACAACACTGAAATTAGAGAAAAATAAGTAAAAAGTCTGAAATGATTAAAGCACAGATGTTGCAAACGGCAGAAACACATGGAGCCAAACATGAAACTGCAGCTTTGATCAGGGAGAAGCTGAAATGAGCAGAACACAGTTGTAAACATCTGGACAGGTTGGAGGATGATGAGTCTGTTGAAAAGGTAAAACTTGTACAAAAAGCTGAAGTCGCAGCAGGAATGAGCCGAACGTTTGGCTGTAGCTCAGACCAGATGTCAACGTTTAGAAATGTTGATTTGAGTCATGAGGGTCTGGTTTCACAGCAGCTGGAGTTGTCTGGATCCAAACAGCTCATCCTCCACCTTCTCCCTCTAGGCCATCATGAAGGCCTTCTCCAGAGACTCCCTGCAGCTCTACATCCCCGAGATCCAGGAGGAGGTGCGGGCGGCAGTGGCGCAGTGGCTGCTGAAGGACTCGTGCGTGCTCGTGTACCCAGAGATGAAGCGGCTGATGTTCCGCATCGCCATGAGGATCCTGCTGGGCTTCGAACCCGAGCAGGTCCGGACCGACGAGCAGCAGCTGGTGGAAGCTTTCGAGGAGATGATCAAGAATCTGTTTTCTCTGCCCATCGACGTTCCTTTCAGCGGACTGTACAGAGTAAGAGCGTCACATCAGGACAGATGTTTTCTGTTTGCACCCGTGAACTCACCACGTCACACCCGAGTCGTCCTCCACTCGTGTGCTGCTGTTTGTGGCAGACAGCTCTGTTGTTTGTTTGTTTGTTTGTTTGTTTTGCTGCTTGAGTTCTAGAGAGAACAAAGAGAAGCAGCACGATGTCGTCCTTTGTTTGGTCACAAATAACATGACATCATCTAACAGCGTTTAGTCAGGTCCTCTGGACCACAGGTCTTGAACCTGCGGCTCTGGGGCCACATGTGGCTCTTTGAAGCTTTCACCAAAACTTAATGAAGTTTAATTATGTAGAGTTGTATACTCACAACAGAAAGGGTTTGTTTTGGCAGTTTTATTGTCAAATGTTTGTAATTTTTTGTCCGTTAACTAGTAAGATCAGAACTTTAATGATCCAGCAGGAAATTGTTGAAGTTTCTTTCAGCTGCTTCCTCTTCAGAAGTCACGTTTTACGTTGGACGCCTGTCCTGATGCAACCTGGGCTTGAACCCACAACCTCAGGATTACAGGACTGTGGCACTGACCACTGAGCTACCGCAGCCCCACCTGATATTTATAATTCCTCACAGGCCTGCAGAGTTCTGCGTTTTCATTTTGATCTAAATCTCTATAAACTGCCATTATTTTCCTTCTTTACATCATATGGCCCTTTTTGCCTTTAAAATATGAAAATATTAATAAATGTTAAAATTCATGATGTAATTTTAGTTTTATAATTAATGGCACCCCCACTGGCCAGAAAAGCCCCCTCCATCAAACCGTGGCCCATGGGCCGTCAGTTGATAATCACAGTTGTTGCAGGTTTTGTGGCTCCAGACACGTTTGATTTAATGAGTGAAGGAAGGAAGTGGCTCTTTGGTCGCAGACCTGTGCTCTGGACACATTAAAACATAAAAACTAAATACAATTTAAAAACTTGTTGAAACATTTCAATTCAACTCAGTTTATTTCTATATCACCAAATCACAACAAAGTTGTCTCAGGGACTTTACAGGAACATTCACATAAAAGCCAGTTAGTAAAGTTCTCTATCTAAGGAATCCAGCAGACAAGTTGAATCTTGGCTTCGTTGCAGTCTCCCATCCTGAGCAAGCACAGTGGCAACAGTGGAAAGAAAAACTCACTTTTAACAGGAAGAAACCTCCAGCAGAACCAGCTCAGGACAAGAGACCATCTGCTCTGACCAGCTGGTTGAGAGGACAGGAAGGAGAGACAGACGAACACAGAATGGTAGGTCCAGATAAAGGTCCAGGTCCAGATATAGGTCCAGGTCCAGATATAGGTCCAGGTCCAGATATAGGTCCAGGTCCAGATATAGGTCCAGGTATAGGTCCAGGTATAGGTCCAGGTCCAGGTATAGGTCCAGGTCCAGGTATAGGTCCAGGTCCAGGTGTATCTGAAAGACATAAAAAAAAACACATGTTAAGATAGAAAAATAATTACAAATACAAAACAGGTTGAGCAGAGTAAGTAAAGACAGCAGCAGAGTGAAAAGTGTGGTCAGTTTGTCCTCCAGCAGTCTAAGTCTATAGCAGCATAACTAAGAGACAGCTCAGGAAACCCAAGCCGACCCTAACTATAGGATTTATCAAAAAGGAAAGTCTTAAGTCTAGTTTTAAAACTGGACAATGTGTCAGCCTCATGGACAGAGACTGGAAGTTGGTTCCACAAGAGAGGAGCCTGAGAACTGAAAGATCTTCCTCCCATTCTGTTTTTGTAAATTCTAGGAACCACAAATAAACCTGCAGCCTGACAGCGAAGTGCTCTGTTAGTAAAATATGGAACAATAAGATCTGTAATATAAGATGGAGCTAGGTTGTTGAGAGCTTTGTAGGTTAGAAGTAAGATTTTGAATTATATTCTGGATTTGACAGGGAGCCAATGGAGAGAAACTAAAACTGGAGAGATATGATCTCTCCCAGTAACTCCAGTTAAGACTCTGGCAGCAGCATTTTGGATCAACTGAAGACGTTTTAAAGAAGTATTTGGACATCCAGATAATAAACCATTGCAATAGTCCAGTCGAGACGTGACAAATGCATGGACCAGTTTTTCTGCATCATCTTTAGATCAGATGTTTCTAATGTTAGTGATATTACGCAGGTGGAAGAAGGAGGTTCTTCGTCTTTAATCCTAAAGATTTCATCAGTCATCAGTCCTGCAGAACTACAGCTGGTCTTTTGGATTAAAGACGAATCATTTCAACAAGTTTTAAATTTTTATCTAATCTTTATTTTTTAATCGGTGCAGAGGAGATGACTCAACATTGTTAGATTTTTCTGGATTATTGAGCATGGATCAGGATAATGTGACATCATGTGCTTTTGATACGATGATTCCTGCCCACGACGAGCCGGGCCGAGCCGGGCCGAGCCGGGCCTTTCAATGCAAAAATGCCATTAGATATGTAATTAGAAACAAAAGTAAAACCAGAATAAATGTGTCAGAGGATCGATGCCTTCACTGCTCTAAGATGTAGACTGTCCTGCACTGAGCCGCAGGTCTGAGCCGCAGGTCTGAGCCGCAGGTCTGAGCCGCCGGTCTGAGCAGCAGGTCTGAGCAGCAGGTCTGAGCCGCAGGTCTGAGCCGCAGGTCTGAGCAGTCTTATGAGTCACAAGGAGCAAAATAAAAAGTCTTTGTGTCGATGCAAAACTTAATTCTGACTTTCTCCATCCTGCTCCTCTCCCCTCGCCTCCATCGTCCTCTGCTCCTTCTGCCACCCGCTCTGTCCTGCAGGGTCTCAAGGCCAGAAACTTCATCCACTCCAAGATCGAGGAGAACATCAAGAAGAAGCTGCAGGAGTGCGAGCAGGGCTTCAAACGCAGAGACGCGCTGCAGCAGCTCATCGACAGCAGCGAGGACAGCCAGAGGCCTTTCAGCATGCAGGTGACGAGCACAGCTCTGACAAACGTCTAGTCTCTTCTGTTTCCTCACGTATTCAAACCATCTTTTGTTTTCAGGCCATCAAAGAGTCTGCTACAGAGCTGCTGTTTGGGGGGCACGAGACCACCGCCAGCACAGCCACATCTCTCATCATGTTTTTAGGCCTGAACCCTGAAGTGGTGGACAAAGTGAGGCAGGAGTTACTGGAGAAGGTCTCTGCACCTGCTGACGCTGTGATTTCTTCAGCTCTTTGTTGAGCTTCTAGCTAACTGTTCATAGTTTTTCTATTTCAAACTGAAGACTGTTCCAAGCTTTAAATATACTCATGCAGCTACACTCACATGCAGATCATTGCCCCTCCCCTCCCTCCAGAGGGTTGTTGGGCTCTTTGCTGCTCACAGACATGTTTTGGCCAGACGCAGTGACACTGACCTCACGTCAGGCGCAGTGATCTGAGACTTCCTGTCTTCAGAGTTGGTCTTTAGCGTTTTACGGAGACGTGTGGCTCAACGCCGAAGAGTCGGCACGAGAACATGAACAGAAGTTCTGATTGGAGATCTGCAGCTGTCAGACTGAACTCGTCTCAGGAAGTTGGACTTTACATAAACTGGCATTTTGATATTTACTAGGTTTTTTAAATACAATCACTGTTTACGTAAAAAAAAACAGTTTTGATGATTTTGCCCCTTAATGTCACCCTCTGAATTTTCAGCTGTTGAATTTTTCAAAATTTTGCTAACTCTACTTGCTCATGCAAAATTGACACTTTATGCATCAAAATATTTGTATTTTTTCTTCTTTCTCAAGCTGTGTCTCTGCTACATGACCTTCAGCTTTCTCTCAAGTTCCCCCTCAGTGTGCACATCCAAACTCCCGTTAAGTCCCATTAACTCCCATTAACTCCCATTAACTCCCATCATACCTGAACTGGCTGTAATAGTTGAAGTGGAGGTTTTCTGTAACCCAACATGTTTCCTACATAATGCACTTTAGTACAAACGTTAACTTTAGGCCGCCCTGTTTGTAACAATTCAAGATTTTTTTTCATACAGCAGCAGTTTGAGGCTTAGTTTCTAATTTGCTTTTCTGTCTGCCTGTCTGAAGAGTGGGGCTGCCTGCAAACATTTCTACCTGGAGTTTCAAGATAAAGTCCTTCAAAATAAGAGCCTAGCTCAGTCATGACTTCAGTTACTACAGAAGTATTTCCCAGATAGGTTTTATGGAAGAAAGTTGATTCAGAAGCTGCAGAAAATGTCTTGAACTGAAACTCGTCTGTGGTTTGAGTTCATCATCAACTTCTTTTAGTCTGAGAATGTTTTTTTGTTTGTTTGTCCAACATTTCCAAACTAATGAGGTCCTGTGCTTCTAGCATCCTAAACTAACTGCTGCTGTTTGTGTTCAGGAGGAGCAGGGCTTGGATCTCCAGAACCTAAGCCTGGAGTGTTTGGAGCAGCTTCAGTACGCCGGCTGCGTCATCAAAGAAACGTTAAGGATCAACCCTCCTGTCCCCGGAGGCTTCAGAGTGGCTCTGAAAACGTTCCAGCTCAACGTAAGGAAGCAAAACGTTGCGTTGCATTGAAAGACAGAGCTTTATTGGGGACTGCCTAGTAAGGCAGCACCTATTATTATCAACCTGACAAGTGTTTCTTAACTTTATATCTTACTCTTCCGTCAACTTTAATGTGACCCGAACCACAACATGTACCCCCACAGATGTTATATCAGAACGACTGGCTCAGGGCCATGATGTGCGCTGTTACTTTTTATTGGTGTTTCGGGTCACCACAGTGACGTAATTTTCAAACAAATACACAATTTTTTTTTGTTATTTTTCATAGACTCTGGTTGCAAATAAAACATCCAAGATGGCTACCTGAGCTAAAAAAGGAAAAATATTGTAAATCAGCCATTTGTAGAGATATTAAACTGAAATGTGGTGTGGTGGTAGCTGAGAGAATTGCAAAATAAATAAATATTTTTTTAAATTCCAGATAGCCACCAAAGCTGCATTTAAATGGCTTTAACTCAGCTAGTTTCTCACATAGAGCTGAAAGCTGGTGCCATTATAGCTGAGAACATTTCCCATCACATACTGAATCCATATAAAAAATCCAAGATGGCCACCATAGCTTAAAAGAAAAAAATTACTTGTTGATATTTTTGCTAATTTAAGTTGAAAGTTGGTGTACTGGTAGCTGAGAGCGAACCCCAACACATAGTATTGTCAAATCAACATTTAAAAATGGTCACCACGCGGCATTCACTGTCAAAGCTTCTTCAGGAACTTTCTAATTTCCTGTTAAAATGCAGTGTAATGACAGACAGATGATGCTAACATTTACTGTACAAACTGAAAATGAGTTGTTAAAGCTAAAAGAAGGGGAAGCTAAAAGCCAACAGTAGCAGAAGACTGGTTCAAAGTGGCATAAGATTGGTTCAAAGTGGCAGAAGACTGGTTCAAAGTGGCAGAAGACTGGTTCAAAGTAGCAGAAGACTGGTTCAAAGTGGCAGAAGACTGGTTCAAAGTAGCAGAAGACTGGTTCAAAGTGGCAGAAGAGTGGTTCAAAGTGGCAGAAGA